TCACAGCCTCGGAGGGGATGCTGATTGCTGTGGCTTTGCCACAGCGGTGGGGGAGCAGAGTGGATTAGAACCTTGGACCCTGTACCCACTCAGGCCTTCATTTGCCCTTCTTTAGCGTCTCTGCAGCTGTAATGGAGAATACATTCTGAGCTCACCATGTGTCCACGGCAGAAGGGGACTGGAAACGGGAAGACGACTAAACGTCCTATAGCTTCTGGAATCTTTCTTGCACTCCATAGCCCCCAAGAGGTCTACTCCCTCAGATAACCAGAAACGGGGGTGGGGTGGGGATGGGGCAGGATGGACTTGTTATAAATACTTCCAGAAATAAAAAGTAACAGTCGGGCACCTGAGGAAGTAGTTTACTGCATTAGTATTGTATTATGTTGGAAGTTGTTTACTGGGGCAAAGTTTGTAGAACAACTTCTGCCCCTTGTTTATGGATAGTATGGAGTATGGACAAGACAGATAAAAAAAAGCCTCACGCTCGTGGATTTATATCCTGTTTTAGAGGCTCCTTCACAGCTTGGTGGAGACCGAACTTCGATCACCTGTTGGGCTGGCAGAGCTATTCCTGGTATTTGCTTCTAGCCCTGGAGCCTAGTATGATTCCTTCCGTAAGGATGGGAGGGCTAACATTGAGCGATTACTTAATCTGTCCTGCGTGTTTGTGCCAATTATCTACACACATATATGCTACAACATATATATTTACACCTGAGATGGATATATGCATTGGTGTGTTTTGAGATAATCAGTTAGGAACAACTCACTCTAGATACATCCTGTTACGTGATTTGGCCAGCTGCTGGGCATCTGACCATGGCCCTCTGGCTGCTACCCACCCCTCGTAGTTTCCACCGGCCGGCCTTAGCTATAGAGCATGGAGAAGTAATACCTGTTATACCTGAGGTGTCTTTAGAGTCTGATTCCGAGTCCGATGTCTCGGAGGATTCTGAAGTTTTCTCCGGCAAGTGTGGGAGCTGCGCAATGTCCATGGGCGTGTCCTTGTACTCAGGATTACTGTGGGAAGGAAGGCGTCCATCAGGAGGGCAGGCATTCATCATCTCCTGAACTCCCTTGCCCTCAACTTCTGGAGTGGAGGAAGTTTAGAGGGCTAAACTGGAAATTATTTCTCAGCTCCTCCTGGGACTTCTCACAGAAACTTGGATTGTGCATGCCAGGGTACAGGTGCGCCCTGCCACAATGATTGAATGCCCCCAAATGCTGCATGAAAGCCACTAAAAAGCTTTTAAATAATCAGGTACCACTGGGGGCCAGAGAACTCGGCGGCTTGACGCTCCTCCTGGCCTTACACCTGGGGGCTGGGCCAATGAGAGGAAATCTCAGCGATTCATTCCCACACCTCCTGGTGCGTCCTACCTTCTCCCGGGCTTCTAATGAGTTCATTGCCTCAGTACCCTTGCCTTGGCTCCTCACTGCAACTTCTCAGCTGTTTGGATGGTTCCAAAGCTATGGGA